TTCAAATATCACAATGCATGTATATGTCATAAACAAAAGAGACACATCAATATGTATATATGATATGGAAGAATTATTTATTAATACGTGTTATATACATAGCATATACGCCATATGTGTATATACATACTGCACATACAGATGTCATACACATACCTGTACACATGTTAAATAATATTATTATTTGGGCACTGCCTGCCTCTGCAATGATATTGTAGGCCCCAAGAGTATAATAAAGATTGTCTACTTCATTTTTTTTTCTGCATCCGGGACTCCTCACATCAACAAATATCTATTAATATAAGTTGAATTTTCAAAATATTTACTGTCTGATTTGCTTTAAGACTCAAAAATAGCTGAAGTGGATGTCATGACGATTGTACTGCTGCTCATGATAAAATGATTGGTATTAAAAATTATTGTCTAGACTGTGTTTTTCTAAGATTTCTATTTTAGAAATTCTCAAGCTTAACGCACTGGAAGCTTATCTTTCAATGACAATTTCAGGAAAATAATTACATTTGTAATTGCCAAGCTCCTGAGTCATCATCTCAGGGAGGAACAGCCTTTGAGGAGAACCCAGCAAAAGAAAGTCTGTCCTGACCAAATCGGAGCAGCCACTTCTGCAATGTAGACTTACCCCTTATCACAGCAATGTCAAAGGGCCTTCTGATTCTTCAAGAGAAGTTTTAAAAATCTGCATTTTTAGTGCCAAGCCCCATTTTGGAACTGATTAAATTTGGTGGACTCTGTGGCCCAACACTGTCGAAGGACTTCCTGCTTTTTCGCTATCCTCAGGCGCCTATGCTGTGACCTCTGTCTTCATTAAGGATGTCTCATGGTGCACTCTCTTATCGGTCCTGCTCTTGCATTTCATCTACCACTTACACTGGTAACATGAGAGCCTTCAAACGCTTTCTTAACAGTGCAGTTTCATTGGTTTATAAGGAGTCTATTTCTATCTGTGGGTTTTTTTTTCTTTGCCATACCCCTTATCTTTTGTTTTGCTACATGTTCTACTTGATTTGAAGCTTTCAAAGCTTCTCTAAGTACACTGATTAGCAAAAGGAGGAAAAAATGGAGCCAAATTCTCATACAGAAGATCAGATTGAAAGAAAAAGATATCTGGTAAATCCAGCTATGAGACTACAGAGGAAAGAACTGATACATCAAAGTGACACAGTAATTGTCTGACCAGTGGGTGCACCTCATCTGCAAATCCTTGGGACAACAGTTAAGTGATGTGGGATTCCCTTCTGTATGCTATAAATATGTTTTGTTACCACTGGTTAATAAAGAAGCTTCTTTGGCCTATGGCAGGACAGCATAGAGCATGGTGGGAAGTCCAAGCAGAAACAGAGGAGGAAAGAAGGCAGAGTTAGAGAGATGCCATGTAACCACCAAAGGAGAAGCATACAGGCACTGGTAAACCACAGCCTAGTAGCAATACACAGATGACTAGAGATGGGTTAATTTAAGATGTAAGTGCTGGCTTGAAATTCACTTGAGCCATCAGCCAAACAGTGCTGTAATTAATATAGTTTCTGTGTGATTATTCGGGTGTGGGGAGCGGGGAAACTAAAGCACAGCCTCTGCTTACAGTTAGGTTTTGTGAAATTTCTCTTAGCAGTGACTTTTCTTAAGAGATATCAGAAAATAGTAAAGTTAGATTTATTTTTGTTAGCAATTAAAGATGGGAGCATGTTGGCAGTTTTAAAATGTGGTCTTTTTTCCTATCTTCTACATATTTGTCAGAAAAAAATTACTGTGTCCTAAACTATGGCATGCAGTTTTAACAATTATTTAATCTTTTTACTATATATAGGAAAACTTTTGCTGAAATCACCTAGACACAGATGTATTATCAGTGCCTCACTGTCCTGAAACCTACTGCAAACTGTCTGCAAATGTCTTAACTGACAAGCTCGCTACAAGTACAAGTGTAGGTGTAAATAACTCATAGGAAGTGCTGACAATATATTTATCTATGGTCTAGTTCATTCGCACGTAAGCAATAGCAATTCCATTATGACTGTTGTCTGTCAATCCTGTTAAAGATAAAGTCCCGCTTTGGAATCAGCAGAGTATAAAAATATGTTTATCAGTATAACAAAACTCTCGGGTTTCGTGCCTAAATGAGTTTCTAAAGTATCAGTTTTATGGGAAAACATTCATTGAGCATTTTCTTGACAATATTTAATAATGTTCTTTAAAATGTGTTGTTGCCACAAAACCATCACCTTTAGGTGAAAGGTAGGATTATCTGAACAAGTTCTGCAGCTGTCCTGTCTATTGTGGTCTGGGGGTTGGGACCACTTACTGTTTTCTTGTGGTGAAGAGTTACATGACACTTTCTAAGCAACTCTTACAGTAACTAAGAGCCTCAAGGAGTCTACTGAAGGTGTCAAAGTGTTTCAACTTAATGAAGCAAATATTTACCTAAGGCTCCACAAGGGGTACTTCAGGGATTATGAACAACAAGAAGAAAAGTGTCTCTGTAGCTAAAGTGCCAAGCAGACTGACAAGGATTTTCCACTGGGTAAAAACTACTGGGAGTATCAGGAGAGAATCCTGCCTACAACTCAGCGCCAGGCAACTCTTTCTCTCAGAAATATTAGCCTTAGTAAAGAAGTCTGTATGGTCAATTTTTTAAAAAGTTTTTAAAAATTAGCACACAAACCAATGGGTTTCATGAGTGTGTTTTCATATATAATTTGCTTTGGCGGATCATCCCCTATTGCTTCCCTTTCCTATTCTGCCCCCTGCCCTGCATCCTTTCCCCCAGGAACTCCTTTTTAGCTAAAGTGCCACATTTACTCTGTTGTCTCTTTCATTTTCATAAGCCTGCTTCATAATTTCCAGTTCTTTCCATGTGCCTGCAAATGTTTCCTTTCTTGTGGAATACTGTTAAAGAACTTTCTATACCATCACAGAATGTGGTGTGCAAGGCACAGGCCTTGAACCCGTATCATGTGCTTTTGAACCCTGACTGTTATTTACATATGGTGCATTCTTTGCTAACTTAACTTTCAGTTTCTACAAGGATTAAAAAGGACATAATGACAGAACCTATGTCAAAATACCAAAATGGATCAAAATCATAAGAGGGTCTTTTGTTATTGTTGTTGCTTCTTTTTATTCTTTTTTTGTCATTGCTGTTTTTCTCTTTGCTTTTGTTGTTGTTGTTGTTTGCTTGTTTTATTTTGATTTGTTTTTAAGTTTAGTTTGGGAGGCCACTGCCGGGTAAGGAGTGGATATGGAGGAACTGAGAGGTGAGCAGAATTGGGTGCATGATGTAAAGTTCCCAAAGGTTCAATAAAGATATTATGCTAAAAAATAAAACAAAACACATAACTACACCAACAAATAAACACCACAACACCTCTTTGTTTCCTTCACTTAATTAGCCTGATGACTTCCAAGGCCCAAGGTAGCAAACACAGCCTACAATATCTTCCATCAGACTGAGTATGCACACAGAATTTGCTATGGTTAGAATATGACATTTCTGTCATAGACCCATATGTTGACTGTTGGACCCCAGCTACCAGTACAGTTTTCGGAGGCGTTAGAAACTTGGATCATCATCTTTATCACAGCAGCAGAAAGTGAATTAGCACAACACCTTAGTGTGTTTTCCAGATTGCCCTTGAACTGCTGGAAGACACAGAGTGAAATAATCTGCTGCATGGTCTTTCTTCTATACAAAAGCTAAAAACGTGGTAGCTAGAGATGACAAGGTGTCTTCAGAGTCTGAGAATCATGTGGGGAGGAAAGAGTTTAGTTGGCTTATCCTCTATGACCACAGTCCATCACTGAGGGACAGAAAGGCAGGAATTTAGGAACAGAAGCAGAGACCATGGAGGAGGACTGCTTGTTGGCTTGCTCCCGATGACTTGCTCCACTTGCTTATAGAACCCAGCACCATCTGCCCAGGGATGACAACAACTAGAGTAAACTGAGGCCTCCCACATCAATCTATAAAGAAAATAAAGAAAATGCTCCATAGGCCTGCCCATAGGCAATCGGATGGAGAGTATTCCAGCCGAGGCTTCTTCTTCCCAGGTGACTTCAGCTTGTGTCAAAAGGAAAGAAAACAAACAAACTAACAGACAGAGAGGCAGACAGAGATCCCATTCTGTGTGCTTGTGTGTGAGAGAGATAGAGACAGAGAGGGAATTCACAGAAGTGAAGTGTAGAACACTGGTTACCAGAGAGGCAAGGATTTAAGAAGATTTGGTGAGATGCTACTCAGAGGATATAAAATTTCTAGTAGATAAAATGAACATCAAGTTTATTGTATAATAAACAACTAAAATTAATACTGGTATGTAATAGCAGAACATCAGGGGATGTAATTAAGGAAGAGGGGAGAACATAAGGTGATTTATATATAATTGTCCAGGTAAATTTTTGTGTTAAACTGTATGTTCAATAATATTAGTTCATAAAATATGAGTAGAAAGTATAATATTTATAAATTAATATATTATTTTGTTTGTTCACAAATATTATGAAATATGTGCCTGATGCTTCTACAACTCTAAGTTCTCTATCTGGCAAAATAATATTGGACACTTTATAAAAAATGAAAGATTACTTTACATGTCATGTGTGAGCAATTCTTGCTATCAAAAATATTTGCAAAGTCTTGAGAAGAAAATGAAACTTGAACTGAGTTCTTGAAGAATACTGGGAGTAAAAAAATTAATAGGACTAGATGCACTGAGGAGTTACCACTTCCTGGGTGCCTTAGATGTACAATCACACTATGTTCCAATAGTTTTTATTGGAACTAATAGAGAAACCAGGGCCCAAATGTTAGTAGAATGTGCTCAAAGTGCCTCAGCCCACATGGTACCTTCAGCTCCATCCTGAGAGCAACCTTTTTAGATCCAGTTCCATTGGCTTTACCAGAGGGAATCCCAGAAAAAGGCTGTCTTGGAATTACTCCTCCATATGGTCCTACATGGCGCACCTATATGGTGCATGTTACTCACCTCCTATTTTCTTTAGGTTTCCTATTTGCGGGCAACACGATTGTTTCTTCTTTCTTCAAGGAGCTGCTGACCTCATTGCATGAGCTTCTATAAGTAAAGCGCTTGGAGCAGCAGCTGTCGTGCAAGCGGCCAGTGGATGTTAGTACTGCTGTGAAGATATAGATAAACGGGGATACTGGGAAGGAAAGTGAGAGAAGAGGGCGAGGAAGGAGGGGGTTTTCCATTCATCACCTCTTTCATGCTGGTGCATTAAGGGTACATAAGGGACAAGAGCAACAAAAGCAGAAGAACGGGTTAATCAGTTCCATTTGCTCTGCTACCAAAAACCTAGGCTGTAGGGGTAGGGGCGGGTCACCTTGGCGTAATTCCAACCTCAATGGAACATACTGGGAACAGATATATAATCCAGGAGCCTGGCAGTCGACAGATCTCCATATCTTAATTCTTATAGAAAGTCAATTTCTTTGTCTACTTTGTCCTCTTAATGCCTCACTTAAATAATTTATGTAGTGCTAATACAGCCTAGATCTGCTCAATTTATCTGCTATTTACTGCTTAGCCTCTTTCAGCTTCGATTAAGCCTGCATTTATAAAACTGGAAGAATTAGTTCAACTCAAGAGTTGTGGCAGACATATAAAATATGTATCGGGCATTTGGCTAGCGACTGGTGATTAACAAGCAATTAATAAGAGGTAGCTTTTACCATCTTTCCTGCGTCATCTTTTCTTTCCCTCCGCATATGAGGATGCATTAGACCGGCTTAACGCTTAGGAGCAGGCCGCGGTGGAGCGGAGTTTTCCTTGGCACTGATGCTGTGAAATCAGTGGTGTGCCTTGCGGCACCGAAATCCTTCCCTGGGGAGACCACAGCATCTAGAGATTATTTTGTACTTGTTTACCGCTGTATCTTCAGTGCTCTACGTCCAAATTACCAAACAGAACCATGCAGAAAACTCCAAATAACCAAATGACAAACTCATGGAAAAAGATATCGTAGGAGGCCCCAAACCCTAATTATTTTATAAAACCAATCAGGGAGAGTAAATCGAGGACGAGTTAAGCTTGACCTCCTGAGAAAATGTAACCGATGTAAGAATAATTGTATAGTTATAATCTGTCTTGTTCAGAGAAGGATTTAAGAAGGCTAATGAAGATTAGGGGAAAAATGTGTATGAACCACTGGGAAAGAAAGAAAAAGACACCGAGAATATAAAACTAAGATGAACCCAGGAAGAAGCCACAAATAGAATATTTGTTATAGACGCCATGGAAAGCAAAAGCGAAAACACAACCAAACATAAACAATTCTGCAGGCTCTGGCCTAAGTCAAGGAAGTTTGCCTAGGAAGTGGAGCCTTCTGTGAAGCATTTAGCTCTAAAGAACCTGGGGTTTGGAGGGGAGGGTCTCCCTTTGCCACCAGAACGGCCTCACAAGGATGGTGCTTTTGGGTGGCCTGTAGTCTGAAAGCAGTTGGTGATGTGGACTCACAGAGGCCTGGACTCCACTCTATGAGCTTCGCCCATTATCTTATTTTCATAATAATGTCTGTGCTTCTCTGTAATTGCCTCACTTTCGTCAACAGATTGAGTGCAAAGATAAGTACTTTCATGTTTTAACGGGGAGAGAAATTCAGGTAGGTAATCTATTAAAAACAAACTAAAAAGCCCCAAACCGTAGAATGAAGCATGTTAGGGGATGACCCTACTTGCTCTCAGGTACTTTTCTGGGATCCTCTCTTTTTATCTTATCGCCAAGGTTACACAAGGCCTGGTTCAGAGAAGAGAAAGTCCTTCTAGACTCCAATACCCCCAAGGTCTGAGACCTGGTTACCCAGGGATAAGCCTCTGCACACAGACTTTAGGCTGCCCCTCAATTCATCTAGAAAGAGGCATCTTAGTATCTGGCCAGAGCGCAGACCGGAGAGAATCTTATAGAAGGATTGGCAAATATACCGATTCCCGGAACCTGGAAAAACCAGTATCTTAGATGAGTGTGAAGTTTGGGAAACGCTGAGGCAACAGGGAAAGTTCTCGGTGGAGTAAGCTTCTGCAATCAGGAGAAGGCGGCAAGGTTCCGCCCCTTCGGCCACCAGCCCAGGTCAGAGCGCACAGCCTGGGCACCGGGCAGTGGGAGGCCAGCGAGGGTCCCTGCGAGAGCCCGGTCGCGGGTCCGAGCCCACGACCCGAGACACACCCTCCCCTGGTCCCCACTGGGCGGACGCGCTCCAGGAGGCCTGGGCGGCAGGCGCGGCCAAACGGCGGCAGGCTGACTCAGCCGCCCAGCAATGCTGCGGAACCGGGACGGCCTGCCCCGCCGCCCCCGTCGCTGAGCTCGGGCCGCCCCCGCGGGCCGCGGATCCCCGCCCCCGGGGCCCCGGGGAGGAAGCACCCGGGCGCGGCGCCGAGCACCTGGGCGGCCCGGGCGGGCGCGGCTTCCGGGGCTGCGTGCTCGCCGAGCCCAGCCGCGCTCCCGCCTCCAGGTACGGCGCGGTGTCCGCCCGCCGGTGACAGCGCCCCACGGGGACCAGCCGGCGCTGCGCTGCCCAGGCTCGGCGGCCGCGCGCGAGGCGAGTCCCCGGGGTGGGCTGGCGGCGGTACGGTCCCGGGTGCGAGAACGCCTCGCCTTTCCGCGCCGCGCGGCGCTTCGGGGCTCGCGCAGTGCTCGGGCTCTGGATTGTGCCGCTTGGATCGTGCTCCCGCGTGTGGGCGTCGGAGAAGAAACCAGAGCGGGTAAGTGATCTGAAGGCTGCACTTGCTTCTGGGATTTGACCCGCCCGGGTGACAATCCAGTCCACCAGACTCGGCCTCATCCCTACCCTCCCGCCCCCGACCGAATGCAGCCTGGGCGAGTTCCAGGCACTGGGTTTTTTTCTCTCTCTCGGTAGAGGTAATGACTTGGAGCCCCGTGCTCCCCCGCACCCTGCTGGTTACACACTTAAGACGGCAGCCCTGTTAATTAACTTTAATTACAATCATTTGGCCTCCACCTGCCTGAACCTAGCACTGTACCCGAGGACCTCTCTAGAGTGCTTTTACCAGGCATCTCTTTCTCCTTTGGTGTGGGAAGCAGTTCTCGTGGGAGAATTGATGTCCATCTATTAATTAGAGTAAGTTTTATTTTACTTCATTCTGTCATTTCTTCTTCTTCTTCTTCTTCTTCTTCTTCTTCTTCTTCTTCTTCTTCTTCTTCTTCTTCTTCTTCTTCTTCTTCTTCTGTCTTGAATTTTTCTGTGGCGATCTGGATGGAGTTACTTTGTTTTGGAAGAAGGTTTGTGGAATAATCTTGGGAACTTTTGATAATTAGAGGAAAAATATGAAAGAAGTGATAAGCCAAGAGTAAGTTGGTAGAGCTATACCAAGTTTGTTCCTGAAGTATATAACTTTTTTTGACTGTATTGAAATAAGCTATTTTTAAAAGTACATTTAATCGGTTGTCATTGCTATTACCAATAATAGCACTGTACTTACAAACCCTGTATTGATTCTCCCTAAGCGCTCTGCACCAGAAGTGTATGGAGCATTGTTTGTATGCAAGTGGAAGGAAGCTATGGCTGCAGAAACTTTTTAAAGAAAACGAGTATCTATAAGATTGTTATTTATGACTTTTATACACTTACAAGAGAAATGTGGAGGGCAAAGGCTCTTGGTATTTCACCATTTAACAATGTTTAAAAGAGAAAAAAAAGTGGGTCGTGCAAGTAGGCTACATCCTAAAATGGAAATATCCCCTGGCTCCTATCCAAGGAGAGATTGAACACATATTTAAGGTGGGTCTTCACACCAAGAGGGTGTTATATTGGCTTGATGTGTCAGAACCAAAGATTTTTTTTTAAATAAAATGTACCTAGAGGGTAAGTCAAATGGCTTGTTAAATCAGATTTATGTGCATCTGCTGTCTTGTATATTTTCCTTCCTCTGCTTAGTCTATCAGATGGGTTTTATGGGTTGTCTGTGAAAGGAGAGGCCGGTGGTTCACTTAAAAACAAATTCATGTTTTTCTGACATCTCAAGTTCCCAGCTGTGAGGCTCATGGGCACTCAATGAATGCTTTTCAGAAGAAACCTCTTTTAGTTACCATGGTTAAAGGGAACTCGGGTTATAATGAATTACACTTTTGAAAACCTGCTTCTGGAAATTCTGGAATATAGCCTTCAAGAGGTCTCAGAAGGAGATTTTGCCTTTTGTTTTGTTACTTTCTAAAACACTTCCTTGTGGGGTGTGGTGACAGGGACCATAAAATTCGCACTCTGAATGACAGTCATTGCCTTAATAGCTTTTGTGGTCACGTGTCCCACCCTGTCTTCAGATTTGTTTATTGATTCACTTATTGGGCTTTGCTTTTGCATGTGCTAGACAGTGGGGTGTTCTGGATTCTTTGTAGAACAGTAATCAGGTGGATTGCTTCTTATTGGTGCTGGAAATATGCCTTAACTTTAACCAAGCATGGTGAATATAAAAGTAGAAGGCATGGGATGTCATCTTAAATCATTTCTACCTTAGACTTTATTATTTTAGATCTCAAAAACATACCACTGAGGGCCTGGCTAGATGACTCAGCCAGTAAAGTTGCTATCTACCAAACCTAATGACATGAGTTTGTTCCCCTAGACCCAGGGTCTGATGGTGGAAGGGGAGGACTGAGTCTGTCAAGTTGTTCCTGACCTCTAAAGAAATGCTGTGTCACCCCCACCCACGTACACACACACACACACACACACACACACACACACGTAAATGTAGATAAAATGTCACCTAAATCTTATATATGTGATAGTAGTAAAGTCATTTGACTCACTTAGTTTTGTTTTCTTGATTGAAATAGCAGTGGTAGTCTCTCCTAATTGTCCTGTCTCTGTAGAAATTTTCTTGAAGTTTTAACTCGGCATAAGCAGACTTTCTTACATGTGCTCAAATGAGAACACAGGTATTCTGATATGGGCGAGGTGGGCCTTTTGTTGAAAGGTATTTGCGAGAGGCAGAGAGAATTATTTTCTGACTTCAGTGCATATATGTATGGATAATTGAGGGAATAACCTGGGATGGGTTGTTTAAATGCCTTATCATTCCTAAAGGTAAAATATAAAACAAAAACAGGCAAACAAACAAACAAGCCACCACTGGCTATGCTGTGTAGCTGAGCATGGGAGAGTAAGGCTCGCTCTGTGGACCAACATGGGAGACTGGTCTTTTCCTGGTGTCAGATGCCTACAGGGATGGAGATGGGCAAGGGCTGTGCAGAACTTTTCACTGCATTCTCAAGAAGTGCAGACACTTCCCTTTTCCACTTGCCCATCTGACATCACTACTTGTTGAACTCGAAGTCCATTGCACCTGCTCTGTCTTCCTGCTGTGGTTCGATGTTTATCTTCTCTTGCCGTGCCTCCTTCATGGCCTTTGGTCTACTTTCAGGGGCTGATGTCTCCACCTGTGGCCTTTCCTCTTAGAAACCCCATTCAATAGCTCTTACTCTGATCTCTGCATTTGCAAAGCCCTGACTTGCTGCAGTCGTTAACTATACTATATTTAAAGGATGGTGCCAGATCTCTGGGGCGTGAATAAAGCATTATATTGCAAACCCGCTAAAGTCAAGGTCACAAGACTTGAGTTTTTTCATTGCTCCGGAGTAAGTACTATTTTGCATCCATCATAGTCTTCTGAGAATGTTGTTCTGTCTCCGCAGTCCTTCTTCACTTGGACTGTGCAGTTTGTCTCAGGGCTGATTGTTTGTACCCATGTCATTTCCTTTGCTTATTGTCATGTCTACGCCTGATCTTTTTTTAAACCACTGGAGAGAAGACATCTTCACTTTGTAACCCTTGACACTGTTCACCAGTGAGATAAGGTGTACTGTTATCTCGAACTGAAAATATTTCCCACTATTCTCTTAGAGAGAGCCGTGTCCCTTAAATATTTATTGAAGGAATAAATGTAAACAAAGCGGCATATAAGTTCAGAGACAGTTGAAGTACTTGTCTTTTTGTG